CAATCCCCGGCTGCTCCCCGGCCACAGGAGGAGGGTCCCACATGGCGCGCAGACCTCTCCTGCCGCCCGCTGCTCCCCTCAGCAGTGTACTTCGGTCCTTCTGCCTGCTCTGCTCCCCACTCTGGCTCTGGTGAATTCTCTCACCCTCCCGCGCTTCTGACTGTACCCAGTGCTTGTATAAACAAAACAAACAAACAAATAAATAAAATAAAAAAAAATGCCTCTATTAAAAAAAAATCTTAAAAAAAAAAAGAATGTAGAAAGATGGAAGCTTAATTGCAAAGACACTGATGTTTTTGTCTTGAATTTTAATATTCCATTTCTGCAAGAAATGTGTGGATTTTAGAGAATGTATTTTCTGATACTTAAAGTTTTAGACCCTTCTTTTCTCTTATCAAAAAAGATTGTTTGTATGCCAGGATACTTCGTTTGATCAAATACCTATACCTACACAAATAGGTGGCCTTTTAATTATTTCACAAAGGAAAAATAAGTTTATTGCCAAGCATTGCCCTAATTTGCTCTTCTCCGTTTCATCTTGCTGCCTGCCTCTGGAAAGAACCGATAACAACACTCTACCCTTAACATCTAGCATAGTGCTCAATTCATTGTCAGTGAACAAGAGAATATATTTCTGAAAAATATTTAGTAGAAGAAAATATTGGTAATATAGCTAGCCCCTTTCCACTTGCCATATTATATTCCTACTATCAATAAAGATTTACAGAATTGTCATTTTTTTAGCAGGAAAGAAGCCCTCCAGAGGAAACTAAGGCAGAGTTGGGGTAAGGCTCTTATTTCATCTGACAACTAACACCACACCAGGCAGCACCTGCCCAACACCCACCCACAACATGGCCTCCTAGTTCAGATCACTTGCAGCTACTCAGGTCTCATCTTGCATAAGGATGAAGTAACAGTCACTGGGAAGATAAAATCAATGCCCTCATTAAAGAAGTCAGTGCAAATATTGAACCTTTCGGGACTGGCTTGTTTGCAAAGTCCTTGGGCAATGTCAATGTTGTGTCTCTCATCTGCAATGTAGAGTCTGGGCGGGCAGCAGGTGCTGCACCAACAGGAGGTCCTGCCCCTTCCAACACTGCTGCCCCAACTGAGAAGAAAATGGAAGCAAAAACAAGAAACAAACTATCTGAGAACTCTGATGATGACATGGGCTTTGGGCTCTTTGACTAAGCCTCTTTTGTTCAAAAAATATTCAACAAAAAACTGAGCTCTGTGGGGAGAAGAAACACACAACTATAGCTTTATAGCAATTTTTATTATACAAGGCATACAATTAATATAATTTAAAATATTAACTTGGTGTTGGAATTTTGTTTTCAAAATGGGACTATTTTGATTTTTTAAAGCAACAGTCTTTTCTTTTTTACTCATTTTTAACAAAATGAGTAAGAGACCAATAATTAAATAGAAGAAAAGTCCATAAGTACAGATATAAATGATAAATTTTATATGATAACATTTACATATCAAACCAGTAGAAAAGGAAATCATATTTAACAAATGATTCTGACATGACAAACTTTGCTCCAAAAGAATATAAAGCTAATCTTCCTCTGTCAGGTATATACAAAAGTAAATTTCAGATGCATTAAATTTATTAAATTACAAAATAAGAACATTGAGATTATTTGGATAACTGGGAGTGAAGGAATATTTGCTTGGCAAGATGAGAAACCTAAAATGACAAATAAACTGACAAATTTGGCCATATTCAAATATACAAATTTCTGTATTTGAAAATAGCTATCAAAAATATCAAAACATTAGTGAGAGATTGTCAGAAAATATTTGTCACACAATATGACAAACGATTAATTTCCCCTTATAAATACCATCTACAAATGTATAAGAAGACGATCTAATAGATTAGTGGGAAGGGATATGAAAGGCAGACATACAGAAGGAAATTCAAAATTTTGCAGAATTAAAAGAGAAACATTCATTGGTAGTAGAATTAGTCACCTTGGGTATAAAACTATTAAGGGTTTTAATAAACCTTAACTTAAACTTCTAAAACTTAAACTTCTAAAAAGTAGTCCAGGGTATGGTAGATAGTTTCCAAATATAACTGCCATTGATTCCTCCCTTCCTTGTAAATCTTTTTTTTTTAAGATTTATATTCATTTATTTATGTGTCTAAGAATTGGGGTGTAGGCCAGAGGTGCAGGGAATGAGAGAATTCACCAGAGTCAGAGTGGGGAGCAGAATAAGCGGATTTACTGAAATACACTGCTGAGGAGAACAGTGGGCAAGACAGGAGAGGTCTGCTGTGCCATATTTGGGTCAGCTCCCTGGTCAGGGATCTTACTCAGGCCACGGCAGTGATAGCATGACAGCACTGAGACTTAACCCCTATGTCAACAGGGAGACCCCCCACCTTCCTTGAAAATCTTGCCTGTATCTGAGCCTTGGTTTTTCACAAAGAATATGGCTGAGGTAACAGTACAAGCACCGCATAAGAATATTTCGGTCAATGATGGACCATATATATGATGGCAGTCACAACTAGCTATACCATATAGTCTTGGTGTGGGATAGGCTATACCATTAGGTTTGTATACTCTGTGGTGTTTGCACAATAACAAAATCACCTAAAAAGCATTTCTCTGGACCTATCTCATCACTAAGTAACACATATCTAGATAGCTGTTCCTGGCCTAACCTTTATTTTTTTTTTTAAAGATTTTATTTATTTACTTTTTTGTAAAAGAACTGGGGTGTGTATGTGGGGGACGGGGGTGAATGCAGGTGAGAGGATTCACCAGAGACAGAGTGGGGAGCAGAACAGGTGGATTTACTGATTTTATTATTTGAAAGAAAAATCCAATAAGATAAATAAAAAGAATCAAAGAATGTCACATGCATTCATGTGTTAAAAGAAAAACATTAAACTTTACAAAAGGGTATAAACCTCTTAACCCGGGTTGGAGTAACCTGCTTTATGTACTCAACAATATATCAAAGGTATTTTCCACATGAATAAGAATAGATCCTAAATACCCTTTGTAGTGGTTTCAGAATAATCCATTGTTAGGATATAGTATAATTTACTTAACCCATTTCTTATTGCTAGAAATTTATGTTGTTTTAGGTTTCCTGGTCACAAACAATAATGGTTATTCTTATATATACACATTTGTGTATATGTGTCTTAGAAGTAAAATTGCAGTTAAAGGATATGCATTGTGCTGCCATGCATGTCTTCTCACCAAAACTTTACAGCAAGAACCTAAAGAATTATCTAATGAGGTACCTGACTAACCCATTGTTCTTGCAAGCAGCAGGAAAGAATTTGCTTAGATTAGCAACTGGCATTTTCATGCTCCCTTGCTGTACAAAGGGCCGTGGGTAGAACTACAGCTATTGTGCATTCAGACACCAAAATTCCTACTCACTGGGAGTGGGAGGGGTCAGAGAGGGTTAGTCTAGAAGTGAGAGAAACAAATAAATTGGTTGCAAGAAACTAGAAGAGATTAACGAAGGTAGATTTTCTCCAGTTTGCCAGATTGGATGACTTGCAGTGCCATCTTCTGGCAAACAAGCCAAAACCTTCCAATTTCTCCGCTAGGAGTAAATTTAAAAGTATATATATATATATATATATATATATATAATGAACACGACTAAAGTAGAATGGCAAGGAACCATTGGGAGTTGGTGTGTTGGGAAGAGGATGAGGGGGGAGAAGTAAGCAGATTTTTTTGAAGTAAGTATCTGAATCATTTGACCTCTGAGGTCTCTGGCAAAGTCTGTTCTCTCCAAGCGACCTACATATGACAATGTGTACAGCTTGGAGGGTAACTAAAGTTGTATAAAAGCCACCATCCTCCTTTAGCTTCTGTAGGGCTACTCAGCAGGACACCTGATTTGAGCCTTTCTTTGAGGGAAATCTGTTTTTAATGATCTTTGAAAGCCCTCCAATAAAGAACGGTACTGAGACTACGAAACATGTCAATACACAGGCAAGTACCTTATACAAGTACTAGATGAAAAGGTACAATCAAAAATCTTTAAAATTTTTCTAAGACTTAAAGATACTTCTGCTTAAACATGCAGAATATACTTACTTTTTAAAGCAAAATTACTTAAAAAAAATAGCATCCTAAGTAAAAGCTCTCAAAAAATTCCTTTCCTCCGTGCACTATGTATGGTACATATTTATCATAGACTTGATTCCAAATCAGGCTTCTGTTAGTGAGTTTTCGCCCTGATCCTCTAGGCTTGGCACGCCTCTTATCCCTTTTCTTTTTCTTTTAATTTTCTTTTATATATTTTTTACATCATTTTTCATTTTTGCACATGTGTGCATTTTCATCTTGGTTATATTCCCCATGCAATTCCCACTCCCCCTAATTTTGACCCTAATCCCTCCTTCCTTCTCTCTACCCTCCTCTTCACCTTCGGCTTCATCTTGCCTTCTCCAAAGTCCTCCGGCATCAGCACAGCCCCACCTCCGCCCCGCCCGCCTCCAGGCCCGCCTCCAGGCCCCGCCCGCCTCCAGACCCCGCCCCGCTCCGCTCCAGGTCCCGCCCGCCTCCAGGCCCCGCCCCGCTTGCAGACCCCGCCCCCCCGCTCCCGGCCCCGCTCCGCTTCCCGCCCGCTCCGCTTCCCAGCCCCGCCCCGCTTCCCGGCCCCGCCCCACCCCTCCAGGCCCGCCCCTTCCTGGCCCCGCCCCGCCTCCTTCCCGGCCACCCCCACGGCGCGCCAGCGGCCGCGCGCTGACGTCACACGCCAGCGCCAGTGACGCGTCGGCCGCTCCCCCTTCTTCTGCACTTGCTCCAGGGTTCTGGGGTGCTAGGGTGCAGAGTGCCGATCCCCAAGTCCTGAGAACTCCGCACTGCCCGGAATCTAGAGCAGGCGTTGCCAGGCAGGAGGCCGTGGCGGGCAGGCAGCCTCCTAGTTCCCGACACCGCCCGCCCGTCCCCGCCGAGGCCGAGAGCACCACCTCCCCGAAGTTGGAGAGGCGGGACCGGTCCCGGCTCGTCGCCGCCCGCCGTTTCCACGGGGCTCGGGAAACTGTTTGTTTGTTTCGGCGGGGTAGTGTGGGCTAGTCTCTCCGGGCGTTGCCCGAGGCGGGACGGAATCAAGCCTGAGGTTCCACAAAAGACTGGTGTCAGGTGTGGGAGTCGCCTCATCTCCCCCCTTTCAGACTAGGTCGGGAGCTGCTGCTAGTTAGACGCGGCTTTTCTTTCAGGATATCATTTTAAGAATGCGGATGATGCCTCTGCCTCATTAAGTCCACAGGAAGACGGCTACACCTAGGCTGATGCTAATTGAACACCACCGTTATTCCTACTAACGCCCAGGGTCATTGAGGTGAGTTGCACTGCGGGGGGAAGCAATGACATGCAAAATAATCAAGCCAGGTTGAAGTGGAAAGACCTTGCTCAGCTTTCTCGATGATGGCGAGATTGCACGGATGCTCACCTTAAGTGCACGGAAAGCATCATTTCGTTAACATTTTAGAATGTTAATTTTCTGAGGAACAGTGTGTACTACAGAGGAAGCAATCCTTGGACATTATTTAAGAAGCTAGAATGATAATGGGATTGAAAATAGAAATCTTGGTATGGATAAGGACTCATTTACATTGCTTGTGTGTTGTCTCTATTAGGAAATTACATATACGTTTTAGTTAATGAGTAGCAATTAACTGGTTTGCCTAATAGCTTATGTTTTAGTTTCCACGATTTGAAACATTGCCATAAGACATTAAAAGTTCTACTAGTTTCAGAGTTCATCATAACTGTTTTTTACAGGTTTTATTTTTATTCTCTAAAATCCTTCCCAAGATGCAGAAAACTTTGTTGCCATGGTCAGTTACCTTAGAAATATTTGTGAAGAATTAAAATATCCAATATTGCTAGTAATGAT